CACACACAATCATTTCATATGGGTATCTGGTCAGGATGGTGAGAATTTTCAGACAAGGAAAGAGACAAGCAGATAAATGGCAGCCTGAGTTCACTTGAATTTGAAAAGGTCGTGCAAGGGCTCTCAGACTGGTTGCATTGGTCTCTTTGATGCCTCAAAGCCTCAAAACTTCAGTGCTACCAAGGTCATGAAAGCCATCAACACCAATTCAGCTCGTGCACTGAGAAAGGCGATAGCGATTGCACCAAGAAACAAGAGGGCAACTGAATTGCTCAACATCACCGTTGGCACTCAGTCAATCTCTCCGTTTTATTGGGCTATCGACAGCGGAAGTCTGGAATGTGCGAAAGCTATGATTGAAGATTTGTTGACCATCCGAGCTGATCGAAGCATGGCCATACAATAGCACCAAAATGAGGCCGCATGAAGAATCCAGGTCTTGGCAAGAAAACAGAACCCTCGAGAACCCACTTTGCTTTGCTCTAGAAACCTTTGAAATCATGTGATGCAAGATGCCGGGAAAGTCATGAGATGTCATGAATTCATTTGGGATGTGCACCACCATGGGCCCTGAAATGCACAGATTGACGGCTGTTCTCTTTAATTTTCAGACCTGGCTTCTAGCTACAAGTCACAGCTGACATCCCGTCCGAGGAGATAAATACTATTATGGTGTGGATGAGCTCTTCACACGACATCCAGAAGTGATCCAACGCCTGTGCTGCTTTGGCTTTTAATTTTGTTGGGGCCAGAAGGCGCAAAAGGTCGTGTCCAACGGAAATGTCTTAAACGTCAAATATGATTATATGATTGATCACCCACCCCCGTAAAAAGTACAAGAGAGGGGGGGTGTACGCTCCCAAAAATGTACTTTTTACGTGTTTCTTCCTAGAGTTCCCCAGGGAAAAAATTTATACACCACGTAACGTTCGCGGGGGGGGGGTCTAAGATGGATGGGGTGGACAAAGGCAGTTCGAACTCCCCCCCCCCCTAGTTTGATACATTTTGCACATGTTTTGGAATTCCTGGGGTTCCTAGGGGTTTTAAACCCCTGAGCCTTTATACTTTTTACGTACGTGTTGGACAACCATTCCGTGGGCATCCCCAGGATTCCTCAGTGTTCCATGAACCCTGAGGTTTATACATTTTACGTGCGTGTGTTTATTTTTCGATATTCATAAGTTATAAGTCAGCTGGAATTCACTGCCCCCCTAGTTTTATACTTTTCGTGTTTTTTCTAGACACCCAAGTTGCTGAACTGAAAAAAAACATGGTTGATTTGCCGGCCGCCGTTTTTCCGAAAGCCTTTTTTGGCCACACCCCTCGCTTGTTGAGCCGAAAGAGCCGATCAGCATAAAGAATACAGGGTCTAAGACATACAAAACCAGAGCACACAGAAAAAAAACAAACTCGGAAAACACAAAATAATCAAAACTTGTCAAACTCCAGGTTTTCATTGATGTTGTTTGCCGTTTTTGTGTTTTTTTGTTTTTGTTGTTTTATATGGTGAATCTTGCGGGTTGCTTTTGGCGATTCTGTGTTTTGATTGTGTTTTTGTTTTTTGTTTTGTTCTTCATTTTTGCTGGAATCAACTTTCTCTGTTGAAGCCGGTGTCACACTACAAGGGCAAATGAACGGAATTTTGCGTATCCAACCAAATCTAACCAGGACCACATATTTTCGAAATGTATGCTAAGGAGGGGTGAGCCTGTCCCCCCCCCCTTTCATACATTTTCGAACTTTCTTTTTATCTTGACCCAAACAAATATGTAAGGTAGTATTTGTTTGTATACAAGGACATACAAAAGGATTTGATTGGATTTTGTGTGTATCCAACCATATCCAACCATATCCAACCATGTCTAAAGTCTAAAAACATATCGAACCCAGAAATTCAGAAAATGTATTCTAAGGAGGGGTGGGCCTGTCCCCCCTTCCTTTCATACATTTTTGACTCTTCTTTTTCTTTCGAGCCAAAAATGACTGTAAGGAGTTTGTTTTGAACCTTTTTGTATACCAGGCTTTTGAGCCGAACAGCATAAAGAATATAGCGGTTTAAAAAATACAATACCAGAGCACACAGAAAGAAAACAAACTAGCAAAACACAAGATAATCAAAACTTGTCAGACTCCAGGTTTTGTTTTTTGTTTTTTGTGGCTTTTGTTTTTTGCTTTTGTTGTTTTTTCTGGTGAATCTTGTCGGGTTGTTTTTGGCGATTCTGTGTTTTGATTGTGTGTCTGTTTTTTATGTTTTTCAATTTTTGCTGGAATCAACTTTCTCTGTTGAAACCGGTGTCACACTACAAGGGCAATTGAACGGAATTTTGCGTATCCAACCAAATCTAACCAGGACCACATATTTTCGAAATGTATTCTAAGGAGGGGTGAGCCTGTCCCCCCCCCTTTCATACATTTTCGAACTTTCTTTTTCTCTTGACCCAAACAAATATGTAAGGTAGTATTTGTTTGTACACAAGGAAATGCAAAAGGATTTGATTGGATTTTGTGTGTATTATCCAACCATATCCAACCATGTCTAAAGTCTAAAAACATATCGAACCCAGAAACTCAGAAAATGTATTCTAAGGAGGGGTGGGCCTGTCCCCCCTTCCTTTCATACATTTTTGGCTCTTCTTTTTCTCTCGAGCCAAAAATGACTGTAAGGAGTTTGTTTTGAACCTTTTTGTATACCAGGTTTTTGAGCCGAACAGCATAAAGAATATAGCGGTTTAAAAAATACAATACCAGAGCACACAGAAAGAAAACAAACTAGCAAAACACAAGATAATCAAAGCTTGTCAGACTCCAGGTTTTGATTGTTTTTTTTGTGGCTTTTGTTTTTTGCTTTTGTTTTTTTCTGGTGAATCTTGTCGGGTTGTTTTTGGTGATTCTGTGTTTTGATTGTGTGTCTGTTTTTTATGTTTTTCATTTTTTGCTGGAATCAACTTTCTCTGTTGAAGCCGGTGGCAGACTAGAAGGGCAAATGAACGGAAGTTTGTATGTATCCAACCAGATCTAACCAGGACCACATCTAATCATAATTAACCCAGAAATGTATTCCAAGAAGGGGTGAGCCTGTCCCCATCCCCCTTTCATACCTTTTCGAACTTTCTTTTTCTCTTGATCCAAAAACATGTGTAAGGTAGTATTTGTTTGTATACAAGGAAATACAAAGGGATTTGATTGGATTTTGTGTGTATCCAACCATATCCAGCCATGTCTCAAGTCTAATCTAAAGTCTAATCTAAAGTCTAATCTAAAGTCTAACCATATCGAACCCAGAAATTCAGAAAATGTATTCTAAGGAGGGGTGGGCCTGTCCCCCCTTCCTTTCATACATTTTTGACTCTTCTTCTTCTCTCGAGCCAAAAATGACTGTAAGGAGTTTGTTTTGAACCTTTTTGTATACCAGGCTTTTGAGCCGAACAGCATAAAGAATATAGGGGTTTAAAAAATACAAAACCAGAGCACACAGAAAAAAAACAAACTAGGAAAACACAAAATAATGAAGACTTGTCAAACTCCAGGTTTTGATGGTTTTCTTTTGGTGTTTTTGTTTTTTTTACGAAAGCCAGCTAGCTGGCTAGTTGCTGTTTGCGAACGAAGTGAGAATAGGGGGTGTGGGGGGGGGGTGGTTGCCGAAAGGGAACGAAATCTCGCCGTGCCCCTGTGTTGAGCGCCAGAAAACGGAACATTTTGCTGGATTATGTACCACTAGGTAATTTGCTGACGGTGGGGTATCGATTCCCCCTAGGTCCGCCTTTTTGGTGGCCGGAGAGACCATGAGGATGTATTGGAAAAAACAATGAAACTGCAGGAAAACATGATAACGATCAGAGGAAATCGTACAAAACCCCCTGGAAAACGGACGAAAACGGAGCGAATGCTAGGAACAAACCATGCAAAATCTGTTGGAACATGGAGGAACCCGGAGTGACTGCTAGGAACAAACTATGACGATGCAGTAAACATGTTGGAAAAAGACAGTGAAAGTGCAGGAAAATGCGATAACAACCAGAGGAAATGGTGCAAAAACGATCGGAAAATGAAGGAGACGGGTAAAACTCTTGGAAAAATAGATTAAAAATGCATGAATAGACTGAAAACCCACGAAGAGGATATAGAAACTGCAGGAAAACATGATAACAATCAGAGGAAATCGTGCAAAATCCACTGGAAAATGCTGGAAAGATACAGTGAAGGAAAATGTGATAACAACCTGGCAGGAAATTGTGATAACAACCAGAATAAAGGGTGCAAAATCTGTTGGAACATGGAGGAAACCGGAGCGACTGCTAGGAACAAACTATGACGATGCAGTAAACATGCTGGAAAAATACAGTGAAAGTGCAGGAAAATGCGATAACAACCAGAGGAAATGGTGCAAAAACGATCGGAAACTGAAGGAGACGGGTAAAACTCTTGGAAAAATATACTGAAAATGCATGAAATGCAGGAAACGAGAGGAAATGGTACAAAAAGCCACAGAGGAAAGCGGTGAAAATGGTAGGAAGCATGTAGTAAAAAAAGCTGGACAAAACACAGAGAAAACCTACAAAAGAGAAGAAAGTAACCACAGGAAACGGTAGAAAAAGCAGTGGAAACTGGAAGAAAAGTTGTGACAATATTAGGAAAACGGTGTACAAGCTAGGAAATGCTTGTAACAACTACTCCCCCTCCTTTTACCGTAGTGCAAAAAAAATATATTTTTTCTTCCACGTTAACTAAAGTGACAATTCGGAGGTTTACTTCCATGTTAGTTGCAATGGGAAGGGGGTAAACTGCAAATTTGTGTTCTTTGGATCTGAGCCCTTTTTTTTTTGGCTAGTTCTTTTTGCCACGAGTTCCCCGGGAATCCTGGGCATTTGTTGATTAACGTAGAAATTTTGAATTTTTCAAGATAAAGCTGGGAATGCCTCCATTTTTTAACAACCAACGATTGGAACGGATAACTTACATAGAAATTTGCTACTTGAAGCAGGATGTGGGCAGTGCCATGTTAGGGAGCGCTCGGTCCTCCTTTTACAGTAGTGCAAAAAAAAAATCTTCCACGTTAACTAAAGTGACAATTCGGAGGTTTACTTCCATGTTAGTTGCAATGGGGGGGGTAAACTGCTAATTTGTGTTCTTTGGATCTGAGGCCTTTTTTTTTTGGCTAGTTCTTTTTGCCACGAGTTCCCCGGGAATCCTGGGCATTTGTTGATTAACGTAGAAATTTTGATTTTTTCAAGATAAAGCTGGGAATGCCTCCATTTTTTAACAACCAACGATTGGAACGGATAACTTACATAGAAATTTGCTACTTGAAGTAGGATGTGGGCAGTGCCATGTTAGCGAGCGCTCGGTCCTCCTTTTACCGTAGTGCAAAAAAAAAACTTCCACGTTAACTAAAGTGACAATTCGGAGGTTTACTTCCATGTTAGTTGCAATGGGGGGGGTAAACTGCAAATTTGTGTTCTTTGGATCTGAGCCCTTTTTTTTTGGCTAGTTCTTTTTGCCACGAGTTCCCCGGGAATCCTGGGCATTTGTTGATTAACGTAGAAATTTTGATTTTTTCAAGATAAAGCTGGGAATGCCTCCATTTTTTAACAACCAACGATTGGAACGGATAACTTACATAGAAATTTGCTACTTGAAGTAGGATGTGGGCAGTGCCATGTTAGCGAGCGCTCGGTCCTCCTTTTACCGTAGTGCAAAAAAAAATCTTCCACGTTAACTAAAGTGACAATTCGGAGGTTTACTTCCATGTTAGTTGCAATGGGGGGGGTAAACTGCAAATTTGTGTTCTTTGGATCTGAACCCTTTTTTTTTTGGCTAGTTCTTTTTGCCACGAGTTCCCCGGGAATCCTGGGCATTTGTTGATTAACGTAGAAATTTTGATTTTTTCAAGATAAAGCTGGGAATGCCTCCATTTTTTAACAACCAACGATTGGAACGGATAACTTACATAGAAATTTGCTACTTGAAGCAGGATGTGGGCAGTGCCATGTTAGCGAGCACCAATTTGGCAGCATTGCTTTCGAAAGGTTGCATCCTCAATCGCTCGGACATGACAGGGGTGAGAAGATAGATGCAAAGAAGAAAAGAAATGATGTGGCGGTCAGTCTGGGGGTTTTAGGGATCGCCCTAGAAGGATGTAAGAAGTTGCCAACCTGATGTCTGGACCCTCAAGTTACTTCCACGTAAGGGTTTTTAGTCTCAGTTTTCACACTTCCATGATGAATATGTTACTGACATATCTGATGAGCTACTTCCATGTAAGAGATTCACGGTCAGTTTTTCTGCATTTGCTGGCCCGGTAGCCCAGTTTCACTTTTTCCCCAGGAATTGGACGTAAACGACTTCCATGTAAACCGACAGGTTTTTCCATCCTGACTTCCACGGTAAAAGGACCCGGTGTAGAGGAAACGATGTAGAAAACAGTACAACATGGAGGACACGCGTGAACATGCTAGGAGGCATGTAACATGTTAGAAAAATACAGTGAAAACCTAGGAAAATGTTATAACTAAAAATGCTTTAAAAATATAGTGAAAACCAAGACAATGTCAACGAGCGGAAACGTTGAGCAGGAAATCCGATTTGGTTTCTGTAGATAATGTTAGATGATGAGCGATGTAGTTTGGTGATAGGAAATAGTGGCTGCCTCGCGTACAAGACATTGCCATGAAACCTTGGAGCAAGATGCGGATGGTATAGGAAAAAAGATGTATGAGTTGTAAGATTTTAGGAGTTGCATGGGAAAATGTGTTTCATGGTAATCTGTGTGAAGTTAGAAAAGTGTGATTTCGTTCACAGAGTAAGAAAAATAAATACAATCTGCAGATTAGAGTATTTATAATGCTTAAAGCTGTTTGACGTTTTTTGGTGCCTCCCTGATTCTGGTAGTTTTGTGATAAGAACTACGACAAAAACGATCTACTGGTAAACGGAAGGAATAGTCTTTCCGGTTTAGAACTGAGTCGACTGTCAAGTGATGCATAGGCTCCAGGCCTCTGGTTATTGTCACAAAGCATTGGAGTGAAGATTGCACCCAGGAGCCACCTAGGTTAGGAGACAAATGCTGTAATATCATTGTAAGAGGCCGTACTGAGAAGGCTGAAACAGAACTAAAAGTGAATCTTGTACTAAAACATCGAGAAAGAATTTGAATCTTCTAATGGCAATGACGGGAATGATATGCATCTGTACGTCCGTGATAGTATGTGTGCCTTTTAAAAGGGATGTTTGGCGAGTGTGATAGCTGAGAAGATTTTCCGGGATGCCAAACAATTATCTCTATCGATGTCAGGGATGATGCTATTCCGCGACATTTCCTGTAAAATACCTATTTTCCAGACCCTTGGGGGGTGGGGGGGGGTACCCAGGTCTGTAAATGGCCTAAATATATATACTTTTGATTTGGACTGCATGTTCGCCACTGTTCTATATTTCCCGTGGGTTTTGCATTGTTTTCCTCGATTTTCATTCGTTCTTATACCCTTTCTTACGTATGTTATAATATTGTCTTGGGTTTGCACTGCCCATTTTGCGAGTAGAGCTATGTTTTGATTTCTCACCGTACGGCCAAAATGTTGCGGAACTTCGCGGAGAAGCATGGACCACGATTCTGGGAGAAAACAATTTAGACTTTGAGAGGTCACATGACCACTGTTCACACAAAAAAGCGGGTATAATTTATCTACAATAGGTGGGAGCAAACTTGCGCTGTTTTAAGATAAATGAGCAACCAAAGGCGGATTTACGGAACTTGAGATAGAACTTTTCACAATGCCGCAGTACATTGTAGGAAACATATTTGGATATAGAAGTTACAAAATCGTGGAGTTTACCCTAAAAAGGTCCATTTAATGATTGGAAAATTATGACCCGATAGCAATTGTTTATGTTGGGGCGCTTCATGTTTGAGCCATGCCATATGGATGAGGTGGAGTTTCACGCGCCCCCGCGCGAGTCAAAAAGCAAGCGCTGGCTTTCGTTCCACCCCTTCTCAGGTGCTTTTGTTGTTTTTTCTGGTGACTCTTCATTCATACATTTTTGGCATCGTCAGAGCACTTATTTTCTATGAGGTCGGTCTTGTTTGCTACACAAGGACGTAAAAGGATTCTATTGGATCTTGTTCTTTTTTTGATGTGTGTGTGTCAAACCAAATCAAACCTTATCTAACCATATCCGACTATCACATTGCAGCCCTCAAATCGTTTTTGACATTATATAGAAGTATTTTATTAGAAGTATTTTATTCTTTCAGAGATGTCCATGTAAGTTGATAACATCATCATATCTTACTATCACTTAGAAACCGAGGCCTCGATAGACCTGTGGAGGGTATGCAGCTCAACTAATCTCAATTTGTACCGTGACAACAGCTGGAGAGAAAAGCAGCATATTTTGATGGAAGTCGTCATGTCTGAAAAGTCGTTCCCATGATGTCTGCTTGAAGAAAATCAACGGTGTCCCCCCTAGGTTTCATACATTTTAAGGTATCAGTCCCTCCCGCCAAAACAACACCCTCCCCCCCTACTTTCATACATTATAGAAAAATGAATAAGAGATGGCTGGGGCATCTACCCCCTAGGTTTCATACATTATTGAGTTAATGTATGAAGGCCCCCATGGGCTTCATACTTTTCACATGCAATATGTAAATTGACTTTTTCAAATCGACGGTGTCCCCCCCTATGTTCATACATTACAAAAAATGTATGAAGGGGAGGGGGGGTGTACAAAACCCCTGGGGAGGGTGATTATGATTGTATGATATTACAATGTATTACACAATTGGTGCCACGGCAAGCTGCGAGCCACTGGGATAAGATGATCCCTGGGATGATGGACTGAGGCAATTCGGCACCCAACCTGCTTTGGACGCTGCTAGATGGTTTGGTTTGGCGCTCGAGGCAGGCATTCAACGGCAAGCGCCGTGTGAATTTCTATGTGCTTTGTCTGCAAACAAGGGATGTTGATGCATTTCATTCCGTTTCCTTGTTCATGAATGGGGAGGCACCAATAATCCAAAGTGTGCAGGTTCTGAGCGTGTTGGTGAAATATATGAAATTGAAGTCGCTGGTTTTATGGAACAATTCAGAATTTCACACGTACAGTGGGGCATCTCACTACTTTCCACATGTTCCATGCTGAACTTTTTTAGCCTGAAGATACTCACCAAAAAGTGCATTGCTTGTTTCTTGATTCCAAGATCGCCAGGATGACAGTATGTGATTCTAAGTTGTTCCGGGTAGTGGTCTTGAATTTGGGTTGCCCCGGTAAACCTCAAACCAGAAACCGCATGTGAGGAATGGACTTTCGCAAGCCACAATCACAAACTCCAATTTATCTAAGCTCCAACAGTTTATTTTATCTCCTTGAGTCCTTTACTGTTCCTTTCAAGGTCCGGAACCTGGTCCAGGAGATTGCTTTCGCATCTGTTGGGGCGCGATGGATATAAAAATCCAGAGTCACCAGAATCTTTTGGCTCTCTTTGGTTTGTGTGATATCACATATATAAGACATTATAAGACTTATAAGACTCCGTTTAAATCTATATCAAGCATCCCCAAACATGTGCAGGACATAGCAGATGACAATTTCAGCAGGGCCCTGGAGTGGCTGGTGGAGCGCAACGATCCAAAGATTATTTGCCATTCTGCAGTTGTCCTATTCGCAGACCTCCTCTGGACGAGGATGGCACAGCATCCAGGACTTCAATAAGTGCGTTTGCATGACTTGATGTTCCGGCTGCTGCATCAAAACTGCAGTCCTTCAACTTCAAGTGGCAACCATGAAAGAATCATTTCGCTTCGATTGCTTGCAAGTGCTGATCGCGGCAAGGTATGACTTCTTGCTGGGCAGATGCTACTTCCTGTTTTGCCTGTGCGTCCTTGGTTTGCATGAACGGATTTGCCCAATCAACAGCGATTTGTTCGCTCTCCAAATTCGCTCGAATGAACTAGAACAGTCCGGGTTGACCACACACACAGATATATATATATATATATGACTGTCTACTGTTTGGCAGGCTTGGGTGGACAGTGGTCATTCCTTGGTGGTTGGTTTAATAAGGTAAAACAAATGCCAATTTTGGCTCAAGTGAACATTGATCCAAAATAGCAGCTTGTTTTCCTTTGCTCAGAGCTTGGGTCGGGATAGACCCTGGTGGGCGCAGGACAGGGCTGAAGTGATCAGACGATGCCAGAGGCATAGCGTAGAGGAGGCAGCGGGCACGAGATCCTTGCTATTACAGGTTACCAGTGGGTGTTCGCGACGGCAGAACATGCAAGGGTGGAGATCCTCCCCATTCATGGACGTCGTGAACATCAGGTATGGGAAAGAGGCGACAACACCGGAGGCTACTGATGGGTGGTACAAAGTCGGGCTTATGACTTTGGGCACACAACTCAGGGCGGTGCCAGGGATGATTCGGAATGCAAGTGGACCATCGGTGGTACCGATTCTACGATGCGTCTTTCTGCAGCACAGCGGACAGGAGCACATCAGCAACGAAGATGCAGCAGTTAACCAGCCTCATAGTCGGGGATTACGACAGGAGTCGCTGGGAGCGACTGCAGCGGGCCCAGCACGTTGCGGCTACAATCAGTTGGATGCCTCCGAGAGACTGCGACGGCCATCGGACAGCAAACGCCATCGAGACTGGCAAGGGAAATGGCCGGGTGCATATCGGTGATGACCTGGTAATCCCACGCAGGGCAACAGCGGCCTCTCAGCCCTACAACTCCTAGCGCCTGGATTGCTGGCGTATCAAACTCATGAGCGCCATGCACTAGGTTACACGACGAGCCTCCTCAAGCAGGACAACCATTCTGAACTGGAGCAAATGGTCGTTTTCACCTACACCCCAACAGCATGCATGACGAGAGTGAGGACAGCCTTGTTTTCGGCGGTTTTTGTTTGGTACAGGTTGACGTTCAATCGTTCCTTTTCACTCTTTGCTTACATCTTGGGCACCTCTGAGGTAGTTCTGGGAGAGCCCATAGCAGGCACCAGATGTTCACCCGTCTGGAATGACGAACCTGGGGGGCCAGGGATGTCGGGGACAAGCAAGAGATCAATTTTCTGATTTATTTTTCAAATCTCACTTTTTTTGCCGACGATTAGGTGCAGTTCCAATGTGTCCAGCACCGGAAGTCTATTTCAACTGGATGGACAGGCGCGGAATAGCCAGGGAGTCTAGGGGCAGGCCAGGCCATCCAGTTCCATTTTTCTTCGGAGTTTTCCATGCAGCTTTGGAGTGCCCAAAAAGGAAGCCATGAGAAGTTTTCAACCTGGGGGTAACCAGTCAGACCCAAGACAAGATAACCAGTCTGGGTAAGCTCACTTTTCAAAGACGACTAGGTGCAGTTCTGGAGTGTCCAAAGCACCAGACGTCTGTGTCAGCTGGATGGGCAGACCTAAGGTAGCCAGGGGGGCCCGGGGCAGGCCAGCCCATCCAATTCTTTTTTTATTTGATGTGCCTTCCATGCAGCCTTGGAGTGCCCAAAGTAAGCCATGCGAAGGTGTCAGAGCGTCTAAAGAGATGAACCTGGGGGTGACCAGGTATGATGGAAAAACAGGGTTCATTTGGGCAAACCCCAGATTCAAGGTAATTAGAGCCTTTGAAAGGCTAATTATCCTAATTATCCTAATTAATTAGGATGATTAGGATAATTAGCCTCCTGGAGAGGCTTTGGAAGCCTAATTATCCTAATTATCCTAATTAATTAGGATAATTAGGATAATTAGCCTCCCGGAGAGCCTTTGGCAGCCTAATTATCCTAATTATCCTAATTATTGCTAAAGCCTCCAGGGTCCAGACCTTTGATTTTGTTAATTATCCTAATTATCCTAATTAATTAGGATAATTAAGATAATTAGCCTCCCGGAGAGCCTTTCGAAGCCTAATTATCCTAATTATCCTAATTAATTAGGATAATTAGGATAATTAGCCTCCCAGAGAGCCTTTGGCAGCCTAATTATCCTAATTATCCTAATTAATTGGGATAATTAGGATAATTAGCCTCCCAGAGAGCCTTTGGAAGGCTAATTATCGTAATTATCCTAATTATTGCTAAAGCCTCCAGGGTCCAGACCTTTGATTTTGTTAATTCTCCTATTTATCCTAATTATCCTAATTATCCTAATTAATTAGGATAATTAAGATAATTAGCCTCCTGGAGAGCCTTTGGAGGCTAATTATCCTAATTATCTTAATTAATTAGGATAATTAGGATAATTAGCTTCCCAGGGAGCCTTTGGCAGCCTAATTATCCTAATTATCCTAATTAATTAGGATAATTAGGATAATTAGCCTCCCAGAGAGCCTCTGGAAGGCTAATTATCCTAATTATCTTAATTATTGCTAAAGCCTCCAGGGTCCAGACCTTTGATTTTGTTAATTATCCTAATTATCCTAATTAATTAGGATAATTAAGATAATTAGCCTCCCGGAGAGCCTTTGGAAGCCTAATTATCCTAATTATCCTAATTAATTAGGATAATTAGGATAATTAGCCTCCCAGAGAGCCTTTGGAAGGCTAATTATCCTAATTATCCTAATTATTGCTAAAGCCTCCAGGGTCCAGACCTTTGATTTTGTTAATTATCCTAATTATCCTAATTAGGATATCCTAATTAGGATAATTAGGATAATTAGCCTCCCGGAGAGCCTTTGGAAGCCTAATTATCCTAATTATTTAGGATAATTAGGATAATTAGGATAATTAGGATAATTAGCAAAATCAAAGGTCTGGACCCTGGAGGCTTTAGCAATAATTAGGATAATTAGGATAATTAGGCTGCCAAGGCTCTTTGGGAGGCTAATTATCCTAATTATCCTAATTAATTAGGATAATTAGGATAATTAGGCTTCCAAATGCTCTCCGGGAGGCTAATTATCCTAATTAATTAGGATAATTAGGATAATTAGGCTTCCAAAGGCTCTCCGGGAGGCTAATTATCTTAATTATCCTAATTAATTAGGATAATTAGGATAATTAGGCTTCCAAAGGCTCTCCGGGAGGCTAATTATCTTAATTATCCTAATTAATTAGGATAATTAGGATAATTAGGATAATTAACAAAATCAAAGGTCTGGACCCTGGAGGCTTTAGCAATAATTAGGATAATTAGCCTCCCAGGGAGCCTTTGGCAGCCTAATTAATTAGGATAATTAGGATAATTAGCAAAATCAAAGGTCTGGACCCTGGAGGCTTTAGCAATAATTAGGATAATTAGGATAATTAGGCTTCCAAAGGCTCTCCGGGAGGCTAATTATCCTAATTATCCTAATTAATTAGGATAATTAGGATAATTAACAAAATCAAAGGTCTGGACCCTGGAGGCTTTAGCAATAATTAGGATAATTAGGATAATTAGGCTGCCCAAGGCTCTCTGGGAGGCTAATTATCCTAATTATCCTAATTAGGATAATTAGGATAATTAGGCTTCCAAAGGCTCTCCGGGAGGCTAATTATCTTAATTATCCTAATTAATTAGGATAATTAGGATAATTAGGATAATTACCAAAATCAAAGGTCTGGACCCTGGAGGCTTTAGCAATAATTAGGATAATTAGGATAATTAGCCTTCCAAAGGCTCTCTGGGAGGCTAATTATCTTAATTATCCTAATTAATTAGGATAATTAGGATAATTAGGCTTCCAAAGGCTCTCCGGGAGGCTAATTATCTTAATTATCCTAATTAATTAGGATAATTAGGATAATTAGGATAATTAACAAAATCAAAGGTCTGGACCCTGGAGGCTTTAGCAATAATTAGGATAATTAGGATAATTAGCCTTCCAAAGGCTCTTTGGGAGGCTAATTATCCTAATTATCTTAATTAATTAGGATAATTAGGATAATTAGGCTTCCAAAGGCTCTCCGGGAGGCTAATTATCTTAATTATCCTAATTAATTAGGATAATTAGGATAATTAGGATAATTAGGATAATTAGGATAAATAGGATAATTAGGATAATTAGGATAAGTAGGATAATTAGGATAATTAACAAAATCAAAGGTCTGGACCCTGGAGGCTTTAGCAATAATTAGGATAATTAGGATAATTAGGCTTCCAAAGGCTCTCTGGGAGGCTAATTATCCTAATTATCCTAATTAATTAGGATAATAAGGATAATTAGGATAATTAACAAAATCAAAGGTCTGGACCCTGGAGGCTTTAGCAAAAATTAGGATACTTAGGATAATTAGCATTTCAAAGCCTCTCTGGGAGGCTAATTATCTTAATTATCCTAATTAATTAGGATAATTTGGATAATAAGGATAATTAGCAAACTGAAGGGTCTGAAACCTCAAGACTTTAGCAATAATCAAAATAATTAAGATAATTAGCTTCCCAAAGGCTCTCCAGAAGGCTAATCTTCAATATGATTCTAATTAATTAGGATAAACGGGATAATTAGCTTGCCAAAGGCTCTCCAGAAGGCTAATTATCCTAATTATATCTAAAAAAAGAAATTAATAAAAAAGGATAATTAGAATAATTAGGATAATTAGCAAACCAAGAGGTCTGTAGCCTCGGGGCTCTGCCAATAATCAGGATAATTAGGACAATTTGCCTTCCAAAAGCTTTCCAAGACAATGGGGAAAATTGCCATAGCTGGGGTAATTAGCAAACCTGAAGTTTCAGAGCCTGGAGGCTTTACCTATATTCAGGATAGTTAGGATAATTAGCCTTCCAAAGGCTCTTCGGACTGCTAGTTATCTTAATTTTCTTAATTAATTAGAATAATTCGGATAAGTAGCCTTTCGAAGGCTCTTCGGAAGGCTAATTATCCTGATTATCCTAACTAATAAATTAATAAGATAATTCAGATAATTATCAATTATCAAACCAAGAGGTGTGGAGCCCGTGGGCTTTAGCAATAATTTCAACTCAATAAGGAGAATTAGCTTTCCAAAAGGGTATCTGGATTGCTAATGTTCCTAACTATCTTCATTGATTAGGAGAACTAGAATAGTTGGGAACCAAAAGGTCTGGAGC